TTGATAGCCTGACCAAAACCCCCATGGAAGTCTAGAGCTTTAAGCTGCTTCCAGAATAAAAGCAGCACTGTTGGAACCCTCTCCACTGTGTCCCACTTGTTAGATTGTCCCAGAGGAGGGCCTCGGGTCCATGTTACATGGCAGATCTCCCACCAAACCTGCAGCCTCCACAGCGCAGACCTGGAAAATCTGCCCTTGCACAAAGCAGCTCTTGAGCATCATTTTGCATGATGGATCTGGATGATCTTTAAGGTCCCTTTCCAACCCCAAAACCATTCTATGATTCCCTGCACAGCTCACACGCTCACATGTGCAAAGCAATGCAACCCCCTACGTTTTGTCAGCAGCAGCAGAACCACGTAGGCTTAACAATGACTGTGTTGCATTTGCAAGCAAAACACACTCTTACTTTCTCAATATTGGCCCCTTTATTGCAGGCTCTTCTAGCTGACAACACAGCAGAGAACTTCATAAAGAAAGTCTCATGATAGCTGTTATTTATTATGCAAATACTGCCTGCCATGGCAACATTGCATGCAGGAGTTTGCTTTATTTGCTCTGGTACATGCATATTCAAATTAAGGCTGCGCACATTGTGCCTCCACATTACAAAGATTTTGTTTTCCTTGACACTTACAGGAGAACAAACTGCAATTAATACAGCCTGTTTAAGCAGACAGCACCCAATTAGTTATCATCCATTTTCAGATTGGGACTCTAGACAAAAAAACATGGAGCTGGCTTCTTATTCAAAAGGAAAATACATCCAAACTACAGGTTTTCAAAGACACATTTTACTCACAATGGCCAGGATACTCGCTTGGCCTTTAATGTGAAATGGAGTGTTAATTTTTCTCTGTCACCTCTTAATTGCTTCCTTATTATACTGTTCAAGCAGTTAATTGCTAGACTGAGTGAAAGAGTGTTTTCAAGGGAAAGGAAATGCCACAGCATGAAAGAGAAAAAAAGTAGAAGCAGAGCACTAGTGTAATTGGGCCTGATATAACGTTAGTTGTGGTACTGCCTTTAATGGTAACTACAGAAATTAATAGGAAAAGCCAAATTGTTTTCTATTGCAAAACAAGCTAGGAGACACATCAGGCTGTCAGGCACTTAGCGGGATCGCACTCTCAGCAAGTCAATCTGCTCTGTGGGTTTATACACAGAGCACTTCCTTCTGCTTCATCTCTTGCACTAGGGTACCTCACTTACTTGTATGTAGTACATGAGCTGTTTCTCGGATCCATGTCTCTCACTCTATTCACAGGTATCCACGTCATTGAAAAGAGCATCCCGGTGCCTCAAAGCAGGAAACACAAGGGCTGGAAGCAGCCATGCAGATGCAGCCTCTGGCTTTCAAAAGCTGTTGTCTATGACCACTCTGCCAAGATCTCCTGAGCAATCCTGCACAGCAGACATGAAGAAACAACTATCAAACGTTTTCCTACCATTCCTGCAAAGGCAAGGAATTGAAATGACTGGCCTCACATTTCCAAGGGCTGTGAACATCCCTGACAGCAGTTGGGTTCCGTCTTGCCTTAGCCCAGCAACACTAAAGGCCAGTCCTTTAGCAACAGGGACACACAAGTGAGTAGGGAAAGACTTCACTGATGTCAGAGTGAAAGCAGCTACTCCAGGTGCAAAGGCAAGAGTTACAAGCATTTGTTTAAGCAACAACATGTGATTGCAGGCTCTAATGACCATCTTTCCATGACTGTGCTAGAATTCATGATTAGTATTGTTTCCACCATCCTCTATTTTTTACTAGAGAATGGTAATTCTTAGTGGAATAAGGAAGCAGAAAAAACACAGATGCCAACAATACTGTGGCATGGTAGGTTATGCACATTAATTCATAAGAAAAGTGAGTTAAATATGAATTTGGAATTAATTTCCTAAATGTAGCTTCCCAGCGGACAATAGAAAGGAGATGATGCAGTTACCAACTTGCGCTTATTTGCATTCAAACATGCTGATTAGCTCATTAGTAAATCTACATTTAAGTCCTCCCTTTTGTTTCCTTGTATAAACTGTCGTTCTTCCATTTATTTGAGGAAGAAAACACATTTATTTAGGACTGGGAAGAACGAGTCAACCCCAGCTGAAAGAGAGCGAATTTTATAGAGCATTAAAAATACCTCTCTTAATTTTATGAGTTTATGAAGTGGTGCTATCATCCACTGAACTGGGAACGTATCACTGCATCAGACTCTGCTGCTCTAAAACTTTGTCATAGGGAGAATCCCCAACAGAAACCTCAGCTCATCTTCCTCAGCAATGGGGAAAGGCCCCGTTCTGTTCTTGTGAGCCAGACACCCACCAGCTCTCACAAAGGTGAAACATTCTGCAGCAATCAGCACCAGCTCCCATTCCTGACTATGCAGAGTCAAGGCATTCTCAAGTCAGCCATCAGGAAACAGTTTCAAACCTCTGTAGGCCTTTTGAGTGAGAATTTCAGTGTTTATTTAGTATTTTATTGGACTAAACCCCTGAGAATTTGCACCATAACAGCATTGTTGTACTCTGAGAGATTCTTGATTCTTTTTGTATAGTACATGCTATGTCTTGGCCATATCCCAGAGTCTCCATTGTCTGCATGTTTTTATGGCCTTCCCTTCCACCTGAGCTTTAATTTATTTATTCTGTCCCACCACCTTATTATATATAAATAATAATATTTATTATTAAATATTTCACCCTTATGGAATGTTTAAGCATAAAACACTGAGGCACAGGATAAATTCATTATTCAAGGAGAACATATCTTTCTCCTCTGGCCTTCTAATGTCTTGCTGTTTAAACATAGGGAGAAATTGGTAAAAACTCTTGAAACACATCAAGAAATCTCTCTCCCCCTACTGCCATCAGCAAGTCTTCATAATTCAGTCTAAACCCACCTAAAGATCTCATTTTGCACAGCAGAATGTCAGAAACCTTTATCCATGTAATACCTAAGTATATGTATGCTTACCCTCATGCAGTATCTTGCTTTTCTTACACTATAGCAACAATCTCTCCCTATATTTCTGCCTTTTATGAGGACACAAATATGTTCTCTAAATAGGACATAATTAAATTGAACAACTCAATGTCTTACTTTCATAGAAACCCATTTTATTATACTGTTTCCATTCTTACATATTAAGTTCTTTTACCTATATCTTCCTCCTTTTGACTTCCAATTTGCCTTTGTCTAAGGATACTGACAATGTCCTATATAGCCTTGAAATCAATTTAGTGAGACAGTCTCTTTGTACAACAATTTTTCAGTCTGTGACATTTGCATTTCTATACCTTTCTTTAATTCACAAAGAACAGCATGTCTCATCCGAAGGAAACGGCAAAGCTGAGCTCCAGGAATATTAACATCTTCTCCAAATTGGTCAAACGATTTAAAACAGCCATCCTTAAACAAATCTTTAATACAAATGAACCCTTCTCATGGCTAGGTTCTAAAGGCTTCATTTTTAACACAAGTGGAAGGTCCTTATTATAACACAATAGAGTTAAGGGGGACAATTTCTCATTCCAGCCCATGAATTTATGCACTTTGCCCAGATTTTACAGACTGGGAAATAGTTGTTAACATAATTTTTTCCTGTCACACCATTTTTATGTATATTTTTGTCTGTGTTCTCTCTCAAGTTCAAGTTCTGTATATAGATAACCTTCTATGAACTTGTAAGGGAAATTACCCTTGTCAGGTCCTTATCACTCAGAGCTGTGATGTGTTAATCCTACTCTCCTGTCGCAATACTTGCAGATTGGCTGCATTTCATTGCAATAAGCTTTCCATTTAGGTTCTCTATACCTTTAAAAGTACCGCAATCTTTACTGATACAAGAAATAGCCTACGTTTATCTCAACTATATAAATGAAAGAGTAAAATAACAGTCATTCACATAGAAAGCAAACAGGAAAGTATTAAAAAGAGCTTTGATTTTAAACTGAAGTTTGTTCTGCAGGATGTAGAGCAGCAGAGATTTAGATTCCACAAGGTAGAAACACTCACCTAAACCTTCTGATCTCCCAAACTGCTTAGAAACTGTCAATTTAAGCAGGACTGTAGGGTCTTCTGTATCGTACTGAAAAGGAGATGTCTCTACCAGTACAGAGAGCTGCAGGGCAGACAAATTATTTAACATGAATTAGTGAACACTGTGCTGCTAAAACACAGATGTCTGAGTTAAACTGTTTGACTATGCTCTCTCCATAGTTAATGGAGACAGACAGCAGGTCTCCCACCTAAAGCAAGTGGGATGAATTCCTCTTTGGAGGTAAAGGGCTGATAATTGAAGGACCCGGGATGCCAGGCTTAGACAAAGTGCCAGGCTTTAAGCTGGATAAGCAAAGCAGGAAAAACCTGTCCTGTGAGTTTGCTTCCATCAACAACTCCATCACTTCTTCTGTGTGACCCCCTGTTTGGCATATATACATCCAGCTATTCCTTTATAAATACAGTACTGTTGGGAACAAAGGAGCAGCCTTAAACTCTGCACAGTCAGAAACTGTAAATCCACACAGAAATCTCTCTGTTCAGGTCTGTGTAATGTTCCTGCTCAGGTTGTCCTCTGGACTCAAAGTTGCCATGAGATACATACCTCAGGAAAGATGGTGAATTGCAGCTTCTCTGCTTTAAAAGTAGGAAAACATCAGCATTTTCATGACAGACAGGAAGGGAAAACAGTAACAAGGCAATAGCAAAAATAGGGCTGTCAAAACACTGACAAGGAAAGTAGTGTCTTAAGAAACTATCCTTTGACACCTTCCTGCCATAAACTATTCCCCTTCCTCCAAATTGAACATCTTCTCAGCAGAGGACCAGATTTCAAGGGATGCTAATCAGCCAGCACCAAAGTCAACAGGCACTGAAGGTGCTTAGCATAATTGCTTAAAAGAAGTCTAGGTCCCCCAAATGCAGTGACAAATACAACTGACCAAAATAGCACAAAACCAACTTAAGATTCATACATGAAACTTACTTAACTTACTTTACCCTTTCTGCTGGTCTTCAGGTTGAGTGTTTCTGAGATGAAATTCCCCTGCAAGTCTGCAGAGCTTTTTTCTTCTAAGTAGCAAAACTAAGACCCTGCCCAACAACCTGACTGCAGGAGCTGAAGTACATGGAAATCACTGGATGGTGCAGTAATTCTCCCGCATTCATATAGCCACTGGAAAGTCTTCAGGTTTTTCCCTGGAATTTAAAATAGGTTGAAATGTTTTCTGCTTGAGGATCCTCACCTCTATATTCAAAATAACAAGAGAAAACACCCTAAGTATGTATTTTCTTAAATACACCTAATGGAGACAGACAAAAGCCAACTCTAATTCTGAAAAATACAGGCATTTCTTGACTGAGAAAAGTGGCATCTCTTATCTTTGCCAGTTTTCCCTTTTTGCTTTAAAAACCTGTAGGTATTAGTTACATAAAGCGGCTGCTGATGCCTCCTCCATGCTTTGGTTCAGAACTTCAGACCCAGATTTTGCTGGCAATAGGCTCCTGATCAGAGAGTTCATGTATGATGTGTATCAGCAGTAACAAAACCAACCCAAAATTAGGTTCTGACCTTTTGCACTAACCCACTTCTGGAGCGCCTACAGTGATTGATGCACGCCAGACTGAAACAGGAGCCACACTGAGCAGTGCTGGTCAGTCTTAGCACTAGCTGATGCCAGTAGATCCTCTGCTCCAGCTCCTCTGCTCAACACAAGGTCAGCTAAAGCAGGTTGCTCAGGACTGTTTCCAGTCAGGTTTTGAATATTTCCAAGGACTGAGACTCCATACCTCCTCTGGGCAACCAGTTCCAGTGTTTCCCTTACACTCAGAAATGGTTTTATCACATTTTAAGAGAATGAAATGTTGGATGTAAATACTACTACATAGTGGGGATGCCAGAAGACCCTCTTTCCATCTCCCCACCTCAGGAAAGCTCAAGGTCATCTTTGAGAGGTGCTTATCCAACCTGCTCCCAAAGATGTTTCCATGACAGAACCACCACAACCTCCTGCCTCTATTTCACTCCTTCACTTTCCTTCCACTCATTCACCTGCCTTCCCTCCTGACTTCCATTAGGCTGTTAGATTTTACTTCCTCACTTGAAGCATTTAATGCAACCAAAGTAAACAATTGGGATGAAATTCATTCCACTACTGTCCTGTCAAAGCCAGCAGGTTTATTTTAGGATTGAATTTGCTCTTCTTATGTGAGAAATGGGGGATTCAGGAGGAGATAAAGGAAGACTGAAAAGAAAAACTGACCTTGGTGGTCATATTTTCTTTAATCCACAAGGGCCACTCAATGAATGCATATGGCCAGAGCAACAATAGCACTTGCATTTAAACTCGGGTGGGTGTAAATATAGGTAAGGGCACTAATCAGCCAGGTGGCTACATGTTACCCTGAACAAGCAATTAAGTACAAGGGCAATTTTCTCCCAGAGGTTAGTTATTTCATAGCCAATTACCCAGGCAGCTTCACCCCACTTTGAACTGTGTGTAGAGTAAGAGCCATGTCTGCATCTGGACCTTCAATAGATTCCCTGTAGCTTTAGCCATCAGCCCTATTCATCTTTTTCTAAAGTAGTTACAGCATCCACCTGCCTTTCAGTATTTAACTCCTTCATTTGTAAAGAAGCAAGCAGAACATTTGAACAAAAAGATATTTTTATCTTTAGAATAGGCAAGGCAATTTTAGCACTGTATGTCTATGAAACTCAGCATTCAGCCTTGTGTTGTATCTTCACAAAATCAGTGAATGCACTTTATTAAACATATACACTCGCCCTGCAAAGCTGGCCTTTCGGGTAGGAAATCTGTATTATTTCGTGTTCAGGGTATGGCAGGTCCCAGGAAGATTGAATGCACAAGAGGAGAATACATCCAGCTAACACAAGCTAACGCTGCAGTCTCTTTATGTAGTTCATTAATAATATAATTACACCTTAAATATTAATAGAATATGCTGAATAACTCTGAACAGATACATATCACAGACTGTGTATGTCTGTGTGCATATAAGCAGTACTTATGTTTTATTCCCACAAGACACACATTACATTATGTTACAAACACATACATCTGCATCTCCACGCATCCAGCCCACACACATGGGCTCAAGGCTGATGAGGCCATTGCAAGAGCAGAAGTGCTGTGGGCTCCAGAGGCAGACCTCACCATGCTGTCCCACCCTTCCCTGTTGAGCACCATCCTTAGAACTGTAATTGTACCATCAGATGCTGAGCTTTGCTCTTCAAAACATGCATCCCCCAGGCCACCGTTCAGCAAAGTGATAGAGCTCTGAGAGCAAGCACTCCCATTAAAATGTGTACGTGGACAGGGTTCTGCTATGGGTCACCAACACAGCAAGCCCCTCTGCCAGGCCCTGCATCTTGCCTGCTGGTGACACAAAGAGCCTGAAGAGAACATCACAGACTATGCTGCCCTGGGATCCACCGAGAACCCCACATCCCTGCTGTATGTAACACACAAGCATCTCCCAGCACTACCCAGGTCAGTCTAGAGGAGAATCAGGGAACAGTTTGATGGCATAGAACCACAGAATGGTTTGGGTTGAAAGGGACCTTAGTAATCATCTCGTTCCAACCCTCTGCCATGGGCAGGGACACCTTCCAGGCTGCTGTGATTCCGAAGGCATTTCTGAGTCCCTGGGTCTCACTGTGAAAAAACTTCCCTAAATTCCAAAGTAGACAGAGACAAGGCAGTAGAGTCAGAATAACTGGAAAGTCCAGAACTGTTACGAATTTTCCTGAACTTTCCTTTGCATTCTTTCTGAGAGATTTTAATATAAGGGATAGTGCAGATCTTTTCACAAAGAGAAAAAATCTACAGTGTGGAACACCACCATAGGCAAGCCACACATTGTCCTTCCATAAAGGTTTTTAAAAGAAACTGGGGAAAAAGAAGGATGCGTTGGACCTTACAGTTTCTAGGTTGCCAAGTTCTTGCTAAAATAAGAACATAAAAGCAGAACACAAATAGAATTGTGAATAAAATAAAGAAAAAACAGGAAGAGAATGAGCTGCTACAGTAGCTGCTTTTCACTCTGGATAGGTTAATGAATTGAAATGGATGTTTAAGGGGAAAAGTTGTATTCCAGCTGTCATGATGCTGCAGGAGCGAGTGTGTGTGGAGGCAATCACACCCAGCACTGCTGGAGCTGCAGGCCTGTGGGTACCCAGCAAGGTACCTCTGCCTCCCAGGACTGTCCATCCCCATGCCATCACACCTCCACATCCCATGGGACAACAGGGCTTCCAGGGCACAGCGGGCACTGCTTGCCTGTGTTTGCTTCCCAAGGCATGTGTCTGCTCCAACAAGGAAATATCCAAGTCAGGACTCAACTTCTTTGCCTTCCCCATGGGGGACATTTCTAGCCCTAGTAAATAGGCAGTAAAAACCATCCCTCGGGACAGTCTGGGGCAGAAACACCATTTGGCACAAGTCAGCAAAGACCAAAAAACCACAATAAAATCCTCCCATCTCACAAGAAGTTTACCTAAAAATTGTGTCATTTCACTGTTTCTAGTCAGGATCATCACAAAAGAGACAGTTGTAACTTGGCTGCCCTAATTCCCATACTTCTCCCGTTCCCAATCTCCATGTTTCTCTCAGTACGAAGCCTGTCATTTTAAGCATTACTTATTTACCAGGGAACTATGGTACTGCTTGATATGTAATGGAATATTTCCATTCATTTTATCTGCTAAAAAATAACAACATGAAATGAGAATAAGCTTTAAAATCTGTTACAGTAAGAGCAAGAAACCAAAACTAATCAAACCCATGCTGGCAATTAGTGAGATGTCACTCTCGTAACTAAGTTCTGTCCACTACAGCTATTTTTATCTACATAATAATTTATTATTTACATCATAAATTATAAGCACATAGTTCAGGCAGAGAACTGTAAAAGGTATTCAAGTTTTATAGCTTACATTTTAAATTAGCTGCTCCTAGAATATACCCGAAATGAAAGTTCAGATTCACTTTTGAATTGTAACCCTCCCACGTCCCAGATTGAAAAAACATGTTCTATCAAACATCCACATAAATTACAAAAGCTCCTTTAAAATGTCAAGTCTAGATCCTACTGTGCTTCGGATGTCAGCATAACTCTAAAAATACAGCGTGATGAGGCATGGATACAATTTATAGCGGAAATCAAGCGTGCTTTTCAACTTGCACGCACAGAAAGATGTGGAAAGGCAAACAAATCTTCCCCTTTGCAAATGGAAGTTGAACTGTGACTGTATTAACTTCACACAATTGTCCAGGTTAGCGAGATCTGATTGCAGCATTTAGGGATCCACAGCTCTAATGGGGTTTTTATGACTTGCCAGTAGCGTTACCAAATGAGATGCTGCTGTTGTGAAGACAAATGCACTAGGTGAATGCATCGAGTTGGCCATTTGCTTAAAATGGTGTTGGAGAGGAAACTCCTCTCTTCGTTCAGCCTTGACACCCCTCCTGGAGAGCTGAATGTTTCCAGTAAAAATCAGTGAGCAAGCACTTTGAGGCTGAGCCTGCAATGAGATAGACCCTGCCAGCTCCCTGGATCTGTGTGGAGCCCCATTTGATTAAAAGGGGCCCATTGCAGAGAGAAGAATCTCTTTTTATAGCTGTTTTATAGATCTCACTGCGGGACCAAACCTGCAGTATTTCCTGTTGATCAGTAACTATTTCCCAGAGAGGAAAAATGCTTTAACGTTAAAAATGGAGCAACAAATATTTGTAAGTAAATAATATAAATAACATAAATACAGTAGTGTTTATATTGAAAACTTGAGGAATAAAAAGGAAGACGGGGTGGGATAAAACAACACTGAATTAGCACAAATGTAGGCATTTTCACACATGCAGAGAAAATTCCTGGACTTCCCTCAACAAAAAGCAAAACCTTTGCTATGTGGGTATCTTACAAACTGCTTCAGCTGCAACAGTGGGAAATAAAGAGGATAGTTATGGGAGAAATGATGTGTAAATAATACAGTTCCTAGGAAGAAAATCCTTACTCTCTATTTACACAACTCATCCGTGCGCCATCAGAAATCTCTGCCTGGTTATCAGCATCCCTTTGAGGTCGCTCCCTTTCAGGCAGCCGCTCTCCCGGGAGGAATGGGGGACAAGACATTTGCTGTTGCAGATTCCAACCCTTTTGCAGCACAGGGAGACCTG